TTGGGACAAATTACCCAGAAATGCAAAAATTCTGCAAAATTATTCTTTGTTTAGGAGAACCCTTACTCGTTTTTTGTATTCAGAAAATCTCTCACACATTTCGAGTGATTAATCCACCGATTTAATCAACCGTAATGATGGAGTTCATGGTCTCTGGTCCTCATGCCCGGTCTCATACAGTGAGAAAAAGTGCTGAATTTACAGCTTGCGGCACTAAAGACAATTTTGTCAACCACCAGCGAGCAACTGCTCTTCCATGCACTCTGTTTGGTCCAGTTCCAATTTCGTGGAAGGGAATAGAGACTGAAAACGCCCGATGCAATGTTAACTATTACTTTTGGGACTGACGTCATTTCGCGAGCGGCAGTTCTCTTATTCTGAGCCATCCAAGCTATCCAAAACGCCATCCCCTATATTAACTTCCTCGAAAGTTTTTTCACTGCTAGTCTCATCCGTGCTTTATCCTTCCTTGACACTGCCTGTAAACGTATATCAAATACGACTATTATTATTATTCTAACAAATGTAAGTGCTTGCTCTGCATGTGTGCAAGTTTTCCCAGACGGCTGTCTTGATGATCATTTCGAATGTAAGTGTAGCCCGGATAAGAGTTTTGGCCAGCTACGGAAGGCGTTGCCCATGGAGCACTGTCAAGAAGAATATTTGGCCAATGAGAGAATACCGGAGTCCAAAACAATGACGCCCTTTTTACCAACGGTCGGACATTTAGATCGAAGCGTTTGGTGGGATGAACTTGCAGTTTTAGAGGTGGTTGACTGTCCACGGAAAAAAACCGGTTGTTCTCATCCGGATATGCACAAATTTCGAACCTTGGAAAATACCGGATTTGAGTACATAAATGTAGGATTTGGGGGCGGAGGAAGTGATGGGAGGGAAATGGTGATTACTAAAAGCCGTCCAACTTTGCACAGGCAATGCAATGTATAAAGCGCTACAATGTATAACAATCAAGGTGACATCGAGGACCAGGCGAGTTTACTGGTCGGGGGGAGCATTCGTGTTGGGATTCCACTGGGAGTGTGGTTGTGGAGGTAATGTGTATGGGGGCTGGCAGCTCACTGCTTCGAGCAGAAACGGGATTTAGGGACGTATGACCATACTGCGTACAGGCACTTCCTTATAAAGTTAAAAGCGTTGCTCAGGTGTGTTTCATTTGCGGGTGCTGTAGCTGATCGTAGAGGAAGCAACTTTTAGAAGTATTGAACCTCTTTCATTTTCGAGAGTCAGAAATTTTATTGGACCCTGCTGTTGAGAGCCGGTTTAACTCACCGAGACATATGTTAGCATGGGCTTAAATTGAACGAATATTTTAAGCTTATAGCCTACAGCTTGCCCATGCCGTGCAGGTGACAAATATTTTCTCCCTTTTCAACACGTTACTGTGTTTGTATTCTACATTATAAGTGTAAACGAAGGTTACTTTGGTGATGCTTTACGCTATCCTGGATTTGGCTAACTTAGCTTTTTTTCACTGTCTCGGCTGAAAATACCCAATTTACGGCTTTTGGTTTTTTAATTATTTCACTCAATATAAATTTATGTTTAATCAAACCATCTTCATTCCTCTTGGGTTGTGCATCTGCTAGGGAGCCTGCCATTGACTTCCACTTAGCTAAGTTTTTTGTGCACCCCGGTGCCAAGACTGGGCTTTTTATCCGTGCCTATCCTCTAAGAGAAGCCAAAAGATATCTCAGGAGTCTTATACCACAGTAAATCTTACACTACCGTCTCTGTCTGATTGACCTTGGCCAAATTTCATTTTTTCAAATTTTGCCCGTTATGTTTTCCGGTTGTGTTCTTTTCATTTCGTGTTTGAAGTTGTACATGTCGAACTGAGGCGAGAGCACGTATGTTTAGTTGACGATAGGTTGGAACGTTGGTTTGTGTTTTCAAATTTCATAAGATTTCAAAAGACTATTTTTCTTCCGCTTCCGTCAACGCTTCTGGTTCCCGTTTCCCCTATCCGCACCCAAACGGGGACCAAGGCTTCGTAATTACTGTAGTGTATATCTCCGGAGTAATCGCGAGGATTTATTTTCATAAATCTTACGAACGCGTTCTTTTTGTCGTGTTCACTGCTCTTCTGACTGGAGTTATATCATGCTATTGAATTTATGTCAGTCAGTGTATTTGCGGGAAATAGGCTTACGCCTTTGAACTCCCTATTTGTACATAAAAAATCGATAAACAAGCAAAAATGTGAAGAAATTACAGCATTAAGTGAATGCATACATTGATTCACATATGTCACTAGTCACATGTTTAAAAAGTCACATAGTCCGCTTGTTGCTGCAGCATATATCTGCCAAGGCGACATTTAAATGTCTCCACAGATTGAGACATAACAACCGTCTCGGGCAGGTTATTCCACGGTTCCACGACACGGTTGGAGAAGAAATATTTTCTCACATTCAGTCTACCCTGTGGTACACGTAGCTTGAAGGGATGTCCCCGGAGGTGAGTTGTAGTGTCGAGTTGGAAAAAGTCATCGCGCCGAAGGGCTCAATCCAAGCCGCGCACGATACGGAAAGTTTGTATCATGTCTCCGCGCAACTGCCTATAACTCAGAGGATAGAGATTAAGGTTAGTTAAGCGGATCTCGTATGGCAGTGCACTTTGACCTCTTACTAATTTTGTGGCTCGCCTCTGCACCCTTTCGAGCAGATCGTAATCCTGATGCGTCCACGGTCTCCAGGCCTGAATTGCATATTCGAGATGGGGTCTTATAAACGTGCCGAAGACTTTGGTGAAGCAGTCTTCATCGAAAACAACGAATGCCCGCTTGATGGCATATAGCATTGAGGTTGCGGCCTTGGCCGCCTTACAGCATTGTGTAGAAGGCCTTAGGCTGTCTGCAACCCAAACTCCGAGATCTTTCTGAGTTTCTGCTTCTCGGAGTGGCATTCCGTTCAGATGGTATTGCCGCGTACTAGGGCTCTGATTTCCGAGGCGCAGAATGGTGCATTTGTTCAAATTGAAGGACAAGAGCCATCTGCGGGACCACTCGTCCAACCGACAAAGATTTTCTTGGAAGTTGGTCTCATCGGCAGCATTCTGGATGACTTTCCAGATTTTTATGTCATCCGCAAACATGGCACAATCACAGTCCAACCCATCTACGCAATCATTGATGAACAAGAGAAAGAGAGTTGGTCCGAGCACCGAGCCTTGTGGGACCCCACTCTCTATGAATGTGCACCTTGATTGCCGTTGTTCTACGCAGACAGTTTGGGAGCGGCCAACAAGGAAATTTTCGATCCATTTGAGAAGTTTGCCACCGATGCCCATAATTCTCAACTTGTGTAGGAGACGCTGGTGCGGAACACTGTCAAACGCCTTCCGAAAATCAATATAGGCAACGATCGTTCTGCTTTAGCGTCAACTGCCTGTCCTATCACTCTCACTAAAACATGGTAATCGATCACCTGAGATGCCACATTGTCAGGCGGGTGTAAAATACTGTACAAAGTACACGCCGTCCCGTAAAGTCTGCGAAAGGGTCTACCACAACCGGGTAATAGGCGTCCGCAATTGGATGGGTATTTTTGAAGATGTACTGGAAAATTCAGTATCCTAATTAAACCCGAAAGATACACTGATTTTTTGGTTGCAATTGCCAAGTACGGTCTTCAGATTTAGGGATCCGGTGTGTAACAAGATCATCCGGACTAGTGGACAAGCATTTTATGATGCTCACTAAATTTGCGAACGGTTGAGGCTGGTAGCCTGAACTTTATGCATTCTTTTCTCAACAAGTAAGTAAACATCGCACGTGGGATCTGTGGATAGGCAAATTATAGGTCTTGTTTTGCAAACTAACAAAAGATTACCGTTCGACCTGTTGTTCACCAGGAACGAGTAGCCTTGGGTCTATGTCTTACCCTGCACTGCTGTGGGTGCTAACATCTTTTATCTTTCATTACCACCCAAAGTAATTGCCAGGGATGATGTATGGTCTACGCCCTTCATAGGCGTTGATATTCTTAATTTTCTTCGAGAATGTTTGAGCTGACGCTGTCTTTAGTTTCTTTGTGTCATTTCATTTATAGTAGGTCCAGCGAATCTCTTTGGTCAAAATATTATAGTAGGACTACACGTTTTACGTCTTAGTTGTCCTACAAAAAATGCCCACGAGAAAGACAACGCTCCTAAATGCTTCCACAATCTCGCCCAGAATGGGCTACGATTCTGTCTTACGCTTCCTAATTGAATAGTCTATCTTATAAAGCTGCACGACGATGGCTTCCGCAGGTTCAATGCCACCAAATCTTTCTGTAACTCATGGGGCTACTCAACTATCTGCCGGACTATAGTCTGGACTTCACGGAAAAAGGATCTTCTGTTCTCTGACCTGCGATCATGCCTGTCGCCATGTCTCGCTGTCTAGACTCTCGATCTGCGGTTGTGCGTGTCCGTCCGTCTCCCCCACGATTATGAGCTAATATGACGTAGGCAGACGACTAAGGGAGACGAAGAGGTTTGGGTGTTGCACAATATGGGAAGTTAACTAGTCGTCGGCAAACGAATACGTCATTGTCTCCCCCCTCTGTGCACGTTAGCTGTGTTATCTGAACAACTCCCTCCTTCGATTCTCCGGCCTCTTGCCTTTCATATCTTACTCATACTGTTGGCCATGCTTTTACCACGTGAATTATAAAGATCTCAGCCATACCCATTCGTTCTTTTTTCTGATTCTGAAACCAAGGATGTGGGCCTTTACGCGCCAGCCCACTATTTGCCCATCTGAAACCATCAGTAACTCCTTTACCGAAGACGAAAACGGCTGCGATGTTAACCTCAATGACCTTCTCTTAAGCAGCATCGAGAGGGTGGGCGTTTTATGCCTACTAACGAAACTTCGGCGCGGGGAGAACTCAGCGCTGTCCCATCCCGCGGATTGGCTCCAATCAAGGTCGCCACGTACAGGTTTCACCCCCCTACAGGCTGCCTGCTCTCGTAACTTTCCGGTGCTCACAGTGATGTTGCTCGAAGCTGGCGCAGATCCGAACGCTACCACCGCTGCAGGAGGTTCGACTGCTGCTCATTTGGCGGCAGGCGTTGGAAACCCGTTCCTTCTGCATGTTCTCTCCCTCTATGGAGGCAATCTTAACATTCCCGATGCTAAGGTAAGCTGTTGAATGCAACTTAGGCGATCCCCTTTTTACGCCTTCTGAAGCCTCTTTTAGTTTAAGACTGATTTCAGAGTGAATTCAAACGGGCCAATCCGGTTTTAGCTGTGGAGGCAATTTTTTGGAGCCAGGACGAGTTACAGTATCATCGCCTTAGGCGAGTGTAGTAGAGTTGGGTGTCGACTGTTAAGGCCTTACGTAGGCGTAGGTAAAATTCCCTGCCACTAAGAAACCGTAGTTAGTGCGCTTTTTCTAAGCTAAAAATTTGCCGTAAAGGTAATCAGTGTGTCATACCACCTCGCGGGTGCTTATCCCTCAGACTCGCTCGCTCTTCTCGCTGCTAATAAAACGAGAGATTTTAAATTTTTATTCTTGAGTTGTTTGTCGCCGCTAGCCGGGTAGACGAGTGCCACTTTCGCGTGGCACGCACTATTTCCGACCGTGACTGACATGCGGTGATCCCAGGCCCCAACCGGTAGATTGGCCGACTGGACCTCGATAGCAAATAAGCCAGAAATGGCCATCCCAGTCTCTCTCATCTTTGTTGCCTAGGCAAGATAATCGTGAGGCATCAAATTGACTCATTAGGCTTATGAGTGAATACGGTACAGGCATATGGGTCGATCACACTTAGCAAGCCTTCAGTAACCTACTGCGAACTTAGACCTTCTCTGCGATTACGGGATCGAGAATTGAGTTAAGGTCTCACTTTCTCTGTGTCATATGCGGCCAGTTTGGCAGCCTACTGATTATAATCTTCTTTTTTTAATTGCCCATCGGTTTTTCCTGTCCTTGCGAGTTTTCCTATTTCCACTTTAAATTTGCGCAGAGACTGGTTCTGTCGGGGAGGCCACCACCCCTGTAAAGTTACGACCAATTATTACCTATCCTTCATCACCTACTTAAACATTGTTAGTAACCGCTTTAATTTACACTAGGGTAGAGTGCCCATCCATTCGGCGGCTGAGAATGGCAACGCGCACGCTCTTGTCTGGCTGCTGGACGTCGAGAAAGTCTGCACCCTAGACGTAAAAGACAACTTCGGACTCACCCCACTTCACCTCGCCTGTTTACAGGGCGACCGAATCATCCTTGAGTGTCTTCTGGCGTCCCTTCATCACTCTCGTCCGTTGGCACCAACCGCCAGTGTTGAGGTCCCCATCGCCAACCCTATACTATGTCAGGACAATATGGGCAACACCTGTCTGAATGCTGCTTTCGCCGAACATGTAGGAAGATCTTTATTTTTTTGTCCATTATTTTGTTCATTCGGTAGAAAATGATGTCTTCCAATTTGATATTCGCAGGAAGGGTATAATTCGGTTTTCAAGAACTTTTCCAATTCCCGAATAATTTTAAACCCGACCTGCCGTTACACATGCATTCAGGATTTCCAAACTACAAGCCGTGTATTTTCCGCTTACGAAAACCATACATTTCTCTATGGTACAAAGAGGGGACTACATGGGATTCATAAAATTAAGCAGTTGGCTTGAGCTATATTGTTAACTTAACAAGCTGCATTGGTAAATGCGGAGACATGACGTTTTATGAACGGCCATTTCACGGTATAAAAAAATCTCACAATTATAAAATTTTTAGAACCCGACTATACCCTTCCTTCGAGTATAAAATTGGAAGAAGACGTCATTTTCCACCGAACGAGCAGGAGAATGAATATTTTTATGCATGTTTTTCATGAAACATAATTGAATTTTTAAGGGCATCGAAACTCAATGAGAAAAGTGCATGTTACTTAAGTAGCAATTTTTTACAGAGTGTAGTTTTTTGCATGCGGCCGGAAAGGAATTTGTTCGCAAGCCGGCATCCTGAGGTAATTGATTTATTATAGGATTACGCTGCACGATGACTAATTTTACATCCCTACTTAAATCTTTTCGAAACGGAAATGCATTTCGGCATTTCGATTGACATTTCCTGAGTTAGCCCTACTGTATATGGAATGCGGACGTGTTGTCCTTGATAACTCTTATTGACTGAAGCGTTATCTCAATCCCCCTTAATGGCAATATCGCCAATTAGTCCCCCCTTATAGTGTGACTGATTAGAAATAAGCAAGTTCGGCTTTGGTGCAGAAGGAGTACTTGGAGCAGTTTAATTTCCTACCAAAACCCATCATGCTACTGATAAGTGATCTTGACTCGTTTCACCCTCCAGGTTTGTTTTCTTTCAAAGAGCCCAAGCAGCTTGTCGGAATCGCCTTCAACATCAGCTGTCTACTTGACTGTTCATAGAATGACGTCGTTTGCTACTGTGGAGACCGGCAGCCTTTTAATCTCATCTCGAAGTAGTCTACTGGGTTATTAAAGATACGAGCATTGAAGTCGTATTGTTTGTACTTGGGCCACCTATCTTTTCACTATAGGTAGGAAGGCACCAAGAGTCATTAAATGTAGACTGAAGTCCTTAAACAGGGCGTAAAATGGTTCTCGGCCCTAGATGCAATTTTTCGGGCAGTCTACAGAAACTACATTCGGTAAAAAAATGTTACTTAAGTAGTGCGCATCTGTTCCATTGACATTCGGCATCCTTGTAAACTCAAACATACTTTGCAAAAATCGCACAAAATGTCCTTTCCTCTTAAAAGGTAGTCAAATTTTGTATTCCAAAGAAAGAACATCTTCCAGTTTTTAAAAACCTTTTAATTCCTGAATAATTTTGAATCCGACCTGCCGTCGCCCTTCCGTTTAGGCCTTTTTAACCACAAACTGTACACTTTCCGCGCAAAGGCAATCATACAGTCTTATAAGTTATTGATTAGGTACCATAAAGGGTTCATATAATTCTGTAACGGATGCAGCTTATGTTGTATACTTCATAAAGAGCATTAATAAACGAACAGATACGATGGTATTCGAATGGGCATTTCACGGTTTTAAAAAATTCTATAACTGCGAACTCTGAAACTAAAAGATACCTTTTCTTTGAGTATAAAATTTGAAGGCTCAATTGGTTACCAGATGGATAAAAGAATAGATATCTTGTATTTCCTCTCTATTAAATGTATTTGAATTTATATGGGTCAAAAAATAAAACGGGCGAAATCGACAGTTCGACCGTCGTTGCCGGCGATGTTCACCGTGTGCTCCACTGAACGGTGGAACAGACAGAACACAGTGACTCGCGCGGACAAAATCACACTACCTAATTTTTCATTCTTGCTGAGTGTGATTTTTGCAGGCTGCCAGAAAGAAACACGTTCAGTAGTCGGTATCTTGGCGGGCTGGCTTATGCACATACGTAATTTAGAAATGGAACGAGCAAAACATCGGCACTTTCAGCAAAATATCAGTCTTTATATGGGCGCTCCGCAGTGCATTCATAATCGTAGAACAGGGCCTAAAAGTGAGCAAAGATGGCAAAATGGGCTCAGTTTAAGGATAAAGGCATGTTCTCACATTTGCGATGGAAAAATGCCAGTATTTCTTTTTAGCAACATGAAAGAAATGGCCAAAAGGGTCAAATTTTTCCTTGGTATCACTGCGTAAGAATGTAAAGTGCACAGACATCCGTCAATGGAATACAATATTAAAGGACTCCTTAAGGAGGGAAATTATTAGAGACAGTTTTCTAACTTATCGAAGTCATATTCGTTGTTGAATTTTGTCGTGGGTGTTCATTTTATTTGGTGATAAGGTCTCCTGTTTGAATGAGTCTTTAAATGTGACATAAGCGACCTTCTAAATGAGACAGAACACCTAAATGCTCACTCTTTCGGTAAATGCCTTAAGACATATCTTATTCTACAGGTTTTAATAACGAAATAAAACAAAATCTACCTTAATGGGAAAGCGATTGACGACACTGAGAGCCATGAAGTATTCAGCGATCTCAGACTCAACGTAATGCAGAACAAATGAAAAGTGCAAATTGATATCACGGAAGAGAAGTTCTCGTTATATGCGCAAAATTATATGTTAACTATTACACCTATCAATTCTATTTAAATCGATTTGTCACTGACCCGCCTGGCAATACGTGGCCTTATGAAAACGCTTGTTCCTATGACGTTCTTATCGTCAAGATCAAGCAAAATCCTGTTTGTCTTATTGTACCGCATCTCAATCAATTCACAAGCGTAAAGAATACCACGAATCCTCCGGAAACCGTCTTGGAGTCTATACTAACAACAGAGGCTGCTGGCAAACCGCCATACCTGAAATAGCACTACAGTGAGGGACCGATCTCATGAAATGTTGACTGAAATTCTGAAATGCGTTTTCGATTAGAAAGGATTGCTTGGACGCGGTTGTAATACTGATTACCTTACGGCATAATCCTATAATGATTTGGACTCGACAGGATGTGAACTTCTGAATGCACTGTTTTTCGAATTCCTGTAGAAACCGTACTCGGCAAGAAATGACTACTTAAGTAGCATGCATTTTCCCATTTATTTCTGATGGTTTTGCAAATTCAAATATATTTTATAGAAACCACGAACAAAATAGGCGTTCTTTCAGTCGTTTGATAGAGAATTATGTCACCTTTATGTTTTATACTCGAAGAAGGAGAACAATTAGGTTTTAGAAAAGTTGTCTGATTCCCGAATAATTTGGAGTCTGATCAGTCGTTGCCTTAGCGCTTAGTGATTTCACTTTACAAGGTGCATGCGTTCCGCGTAAAGAAAATCACATATTCTTCCGTGCCCTTAAAAACATACCATATGCAGTCCATCAAATTTTGCAATGGACGCGGATTATTTTGTACATTTCATGAGGAGCAGTGGTAAACGGACAGGTAAGACGACATATGAATAGACATTGCGTGGTCTTAGAAAATTTCACAATTAGAAACTTTTAAAACCTTATTATACTCCTTCGAACATAAAATATAAAGATGATATAATTGTCTATCAAACGACTGAAGGAAAGCCTATTCTTATTTATGGTTTGTCTAAGATATATTTGAATTTGCAAGACCGCCAAAAATTAATAGGCAAAATGTGTGCGAGTACGGTTTCTACAGGGTTTGAAAAGTAGTGTATTCAAAAGCTGACACCCTGTCAAGTCTGAAATATTATAGGATTATGCCGCAAAATAATCAGTATAACAACGGCGCCTAAATAATACTTCCTAATTGAAAAAGCATTTCAGAATTTCGGTTGAAATTTCATGACATAGGTCACCTGCGGTATTAATAACGAAAATCTGAGTTCCGACGCCCATCCTTTTAACCTGTGGGGGGGGGGGGGTTGTTACATTCGTAGGGTTTTTTCAACTGTTCCAGTGTTGCCTTAGCTTGCCGTCGTCTCGATTGTTGATCCGTTCGTCCAAGACTCACGTAAAACATCTGATGCTCGCATGCTCGAGGTTAGCAAGTTCAGTAAAAAATCGAGCCAATCGTTATTTTGGAAGAACACGGACAAACATCTATTCACTCCGAATGACCAGTTTTCATGCTGTCTTGTATTTTGAAACTTAGCAATACATCGTCTCCCGTAATTTTTAGGGTTACATGTCACGCAACCGAGCACAGCGCAAAGCAGTAGGTCGCGCCATCTTTTGGAGTCTTCTTTCGAACTCACCCGAAGATGCTGCTTCGCTGCTGACCTCGGGTAACCAGCTGGGTCATCGACCGCTCGAGTCTTTTATCTCCTCGGCCCACGCCAACCAATGGGCCTTCCACGGACTCCTTCTGTTCTCAACCCTTGTACTGCCTCTTCTGCGCCCACGTACCATCGCGACCGCACTGACCGGGTTCCAACGTCTTCTGATCGGCCTTCAGTTTTTTGCCCCCCTGCTTCTCGCAGTGCTTGCCTGTCTGGGACAATGGGCCACGGCGTCAGTTCTACCCGTTTACGCCACTGCCAGCCTCCTTGCCGTCCTCGTGACCCAGCAACAACATCGCACTTGTGACGGCACCGAGCAGCAGAACCCCCTGCTCGCTGGTCTATTCTTCTCTGGAGCCGTCTGCGTCAGCGTCTACGACCTTCTGCGCTTTCAGCCGAGTCTAGAAGGTACGCTTGGTTGGGTTCGTTTTCTGCCCGGCTGCCTCGGTTATCCTCTCTGGTTCATAACTTTTGGGGCCTTGTGTATGACCGATCCAGGCCGCCTGTTGCCTCAAAACGCCTTTCGGACGGGGTTCGCCCGCCTGGTGGAGTCATCCACCGTCCCGTTTCTACAGGACGTGAAGAACCTCATGGTCAACCCCACGCTGCCCAATAAACTGCCTGAACTGCCCAACTACTCAGAGACATACTGTCCTTCCTGTGATGTTCTTCTCCCTTCAGTGGACATCTACGTGAAACATTGCAAGTTGTGTAAGCGTTGTTACGTCGGTCATGACCACCACTGCCTCTTCCTTTACAACTGTGTGGCTGGCAGAAATGTTAGACTTTTCCTCTTGTTCCTCTTTCTCACTGCCCTGAGTGCTCTCGTTTTCTCCGCGACTGCTCTCATCTACGCCTGTCACCGCTGTGGACGCGATAAGACGGTGGGAGAAAATTATCCGGGAGTCTACAGAGCCTATATGCTCGCGTCTTGTGCCTTGCACACCCTGCCCTGCCTCTCTGTCCTTCTCTTAGCCAATCTTACGGTCGGAGTTTGGCTGGTTGTCCTCATTAGACGCCAACTCCTTCAATTTAAACACCAACACTCCGCGCTAATTGGTCGGTTTGGGCTTTGGCGTGTTTTGTTGGGCCTACAACGGTCGCAAGTCTGAGGCTGTGATTAGGATTGTTTTTTTCTGACCAGGGGTTTTTATTATTTTGACTGCATTTTCCCTTTTTTGTACTTTGTTATTTTATGAAGCTTTTCTTTACTCAGTTGTCTAATACTTAATTCACAGTCCAACGCACTTTTACTACAGAATGTCCTAAAAAGTCACCACATATGTTTGTGGAACCGAGGGCGTTTCGCGATACTGGCGTAATGGCACGGTCACTTACTTAGTAGAAGCGCGAAAGTTCGAGTTCCAGGTGCATGTGCAAGAAGACTGGTCGCGCATCGGAACACTGTGTTTATCGTTCTGCTCATTCTAACTCGTGCACGAGTCCATCGTCAGAGACAGCAGCTACAAGAGAACGAGGGACAGTTATAGGACGTGTTAACCAATGATCGATCGATGACGCAAGACTGGAGGTGACTGCGCAGGGCTCCGTACTCCACCGTGCTCAGTAAAGTCATGAAATTGAAAGACCGGTTAAATCCCGAGAAACAGCTTGCTGTAGCATGTCGAATCCCGTGCCAAAATTGCCATTTTGATTACCCAGTTCGCGAGCGTTTCCGAAGGCTGGCGAAGGCTAGCCAGACATCATCAATTGGAGAGACACTGATGCCCACACCACGTCCGTTTGCAGGCAACTTGGCGCTCAGATGTCGGAAACTCACGCGCTGAGGGGAAATACGCGTACCGGGGATAGACAGGAACTCGCTATTCGGACACTTGCTTGAATCTATAATTATATGAGAAAAGCGATGGAACAAAGGGCAAAGCTCACCCGTTATCTCTTGTGACTACTCATAGCCTACGTCAGATATGCACCTCCAACTTTACTGTTGTGAAGTTACTTGAACGAGCTGGAAAAGATATGGTCTACTCGTGAGATTTCTTTCATCAGTCAGCCGACAGGTTTGTTCAGCTCCTTCAACCTAACCTGCTCTACAGATCCAGGCCGCAGACCGACGGTTTTACCGGGGCGAATCCGAATGACCAAATTCTACTCGTACGCTGCCCCGTTGCCTTTCGTGTGCCTCAGCTGATGAACCCAGGAAAGAACCCAAAAGCACGGACTATTTGGTTCTTCCTTTGCAGACTCTTCCACTCACCCGAAACTATCAATGTCGATTAGCCGCAAATGTACTTCTCGGGAGTTGTATTATGGTCTCCAAATTTGTGTATGCGAATCCCCTCGTTTTTTGCCCTACTGGTCAGCCTATATCTTGTAGGTTCAGATAGCTAGCTGTCTACGTAGGTACGACTGCTTGACTGATGTAAGTAGATGTACAGTGTGTGGCTGATCTCATGAAATGTTGGCTGAAATTCTGAAATACGTTTTCGATTAGGAAGGATTACTTGGTCGCAGCTGTAATATTGGTTATCTTGCGGCATAATCTTATAACATTTCGGACTCGGCAGGATGTGAGCTTCTGAATACACTGCTTTTCGAACTCCTGTAGAAACCGTAATCGGTAAAAAAAATGACTACTTAAGTAGCCTACATTTTCCCATTTATTTTTGATGGTCCTGCAAATTGCAGTATATCTCATAGAAACCACGAACAAAAACAGGCTTTCGTTCAGTCGTTTGATAGAGAATTATGTCCTAATTGTACTTGATACTCGAAAAAGGAGTATAACTAGGTTTAAAAAAGCTTTCTAATTGCCGAATAATTTGGAGCCTGGTCATTCGTTGCAGGAGCGCTTAGTGATTGCAGTCTTCAAGTTGCATGCGTTCCGCGTAAAGAAAATCAAATATTCTATGCCTTTTAAGAGATATCATATTGTCCATAAAATTGTGCAATGGATGCGGACCATGTTGTACATTTCATGAGGAGCTCTTGTAAACGGCGGGGTACTATGCTATGTGAATGGACATTGCGAGGTCTTAAAAAATCTCATAATTAGAGACTTTTTAAGACCTAATTATATTCCTTTCTTGAGTATAAAATATAAAGAAGACGTGATTCTCTACTAATTGACTAAAAGAAAACTCATTTTTGTTTATGGTTTCTATAAGATATATTTGAATTTGCATGACCATCGAAAATCAATGGGAAAAATGCATGCCACTTAAGTAGTCATTTTTCACCGAGTGCGGTTTCTACAGGAGATCGAAAAGCAGTGTATTCAGATGCTGACATCCTGCCGAGTCCGAAATTTTATAAGATTATGCCGCTAGTAACCAGTATTACAACCGCGAACAGGTAATCCTTCCTAATCGAAAACGCATTTCAGAATTTCCGGCAACACTTCATGAAATGGGTCACTCACTGTATTTAACAGTCAGGGTCAATGGTTACTGCACTTTACCCCTTATTCTTTACGAAGATCATAGCTCTTCGGGCCCCCTTTTCGAAACCCGACGTTTAACTTTCGATCCAAACTCTTAACTTTCTGGATACTGTTCTGTGGGGCTGCGGAATAACACCTTAGAGACGTGCCAACTTCCGCAGATATCGAGGTTTATGCGGTGTGTCATTCAACAGGAGACGAGAGATGAAGCCACTTATCACCCAGCATGTTCCGCCTCTGTCAACTGACAAGAATGTTTACGAAATTTACGACTCTATGTCGTACGCGCATCTGGGACTTTGAACATTCGCACGGAAGTTCAACACAGCTGAGCTCGTCATGTCGAGTCGCTGAGTCTGTACATACTCGGATTTCCTAGTGTACGTAGACGGGCCTGACATGGTGCCGAACGGTTGGAATCCCACTCCAGACGGAAGACCTGGGACTCGCATCTCGCATTTATAATTCGAATAAGACTGTCTCAGAATCGCATAAAAGCCGCCTGAGGCCAGCTCTGTGACACTGAGTTCGTTCAAACTCTGTGGGAACAGCTAGTCCATACCACGAAGTATTGCCGACAAGGACGACAGAAAATAACGTATTTGCTCTCACTTGCCCTCATCAGTTAGCTACAGTACACCGCGGGGTTAGAGGTGTCCGTAATTACGAGACAGGCCGAAAAATCTACATTCTGGTATACAATCTATACAGATTGGCACACGCCGCTATGCAGCTGAAAAAAGGTATGCGAAGTTATGCAGTTCTTCCATTTGGCAACAGAATCCACTTGATTATCCGGCCTTTTTATCATCATTGGCCAGAAGTAGCGAAACTTCAAGCAAATTCTCCAAAAATTGGCGAGTCGCAGCAAAAATCGATCGTTTTCATTCCGAAATTCGATCGTGTGAGAGTAGTAGGCGTCCGTGAGCAGGTCGATCAAACTACTTAGAAATTTGGTTTTATTTCTTGAAGAGCGGAGGCAGCGAAACCTCCACAAAGTAGCGTTTTTATTGTTGTAGCATAGAGGTATGAAGCCTCCGATTTGATTAGTCATGTTTTTAGTGCAACACCGCATTTCGCATATCACGAGACCGCGAACTGGTCAAACTGTGCAACGGTTAAAGTGCCGCCTGGGCAAGGCTTTCTAAGAGTGAATAGTTTCCCGTTTTCAGAAAATGAACAAGACGCTAAATGGTTTCAGCAGTTTTGTTTCAGACACGGCGCCAATTCGGGCACATCTAGTGACGATTCTCGACTGCACTCACTATTCAATCAGATCGGCAGAAGTGCATATATAGAGTAGGTGGATTAATTCATTAATTAGCAACCGAAATTTCAAAATGCGTTTTCGTTCTGAAAAGATTAACTAGTAGACAACTACGCCTTCTTCCAATCTTATGCTCGAAGGAAGGGTATAATTCGGTTTTCAAAAACTTTTCTAATTCCTGAATAATTTTGAACCCGTTCTACCGTTACACTTGGATTCAGGGTTTCCAATCTACAAGCCGTATATTTTCCGCGTACGGGAAACCACAAATTTCTCTACGGTAATAAAGGGGGACCATATAGAGTTCATAAAATGTAGCAGTGGATTTGATCCATATTGTTAAATTTACAAGCCACATTGGTAAATGCGGTGACATGACGATTTATGAAGGGCCATTTCACGGTATTTAAAAGTCCCACAATTAGAAACTTTTCTTTAAACCGAATTATGCCCCTCCTTCGAGTATAGAATTAAAAGAATACGTGATTTCTGCCGAATCAGCAAAAGAGTGAATATTTTTATGTATGTTTTCCATGAAATATAATTGGGGCATCGAATATCAACGAGAAAAAATCATGCCACTTAAGTAGCCATTTTTTACAGAGTGTGGTTTTTGCATGCAGCCGGAATGATGTTAATTCGAAAGCCGGCATCCTGAGGTAACTGAAGTATTATAGGATTATGTTACAGGCTGATTAGTTTAACAACCCTACTTAATTAATCTTTTCTAAGGGAAAACGCATTTCGGAATTTCGGTTGACATTTCATGAGTTAGCCCACCTACTCTATTTTGGGCAGTATAATAATTGAAAATTACCATATACAAATGGTCAAAAAGCATGTTTTGTCAAGATAATTACGAATATTGACTTTTGTAAAATTTAGGCGAATAAGACCTTTTCTGTTACCGTTATTTGTTGGAAGAGCGTGCATTGCTGAAGCCTTCCTCTGTTTGCTTTCTCCCAGTAATTCACCCGACAGGAAGCACATTCTCGACAAAGTGCCTCTGATTGAATTAGTTTATTTGGAGTGACTCGCCTTTACCTGTGACAGCTCCATTAAGGATGCGCAATTTTCACTAGGGAAATAAATGCCAAATTGCGGACTAATATAGGGTATCCCTAAATGTTCGACATAATTTGAGATGTCCATATGGGAGCGAATATACAGTAGATGGACTAACTCATGAAATGTCAACAGCAATTTCGAAATGCGTTCTCCTTTCGAAAAGATAAATTAAGTAGTGTTGTAAAACTAATCATCAAGCAGCATAATTCTGTAATTATTCAGTTACCTCAGGGTGTCGACTTCCTAATGGACTTCCTTCCGACTGCACAAAATGACTACTTAAGTGGCATGCAATTTTCTCATTGATTTTCGATGCCCTTGAAAATGCAATTATATTTCATGGAAAAATGCATAAAATATTCATTCTTTTACTT